AATTCCAACAATCATAACTTCTTTCCCGGCCGCTGTGAGCGTAGCCACCTCACTTTTCATCTGCTTAGCAACTGAGGAATGGATAGCGCCACAGAGCCCTCTATCTGAGGACACACCAATAAGGAGGTGCTTCTTCTTGTCTTCAGGCACCTTAATATCAGCTTTTTCATACAGAGCTTAAAAACAAACAAAAAAAGCAAGAATTCTTTATATGCAATTTATACTAAATATAGCAATAATCCCCAATAATCCCCGTCATCTCAAAACAAACCAAAAAAGATATGAAAGAGCACAAAACTATTGCACGAGGTAATTCTACATCTAATATTAATACATATATTATCTTCAATTTGGAAATAAGCAAATTTTGCTTTCTAAGTTGATATTCAAACATTCCACTTATGTATTCTGTTGGTGAGGTCCATCTTCCTTCAGCTCACATTCACTTGTTTATTGAGCACCTACAATGAGTCAGCTGACACTGTTCTAGGTGCCTGGGATACAGGAATGAAGCCAATATTCTAGGAGGGGAGTCAGATAATAAAACAAGCCAACAAGGACACAATGTGTCAGGTAATGAATGACACGTGTGAGAAAAAAGTAAGGAGGTGCAGGCCAAGTACATGAACTGATGAAAGGAAATGGCACGTGAGACAGGTGGCTTGAGCAAGCCTCTCAAGAAGTGGCATCTGGGGGGAAACCTGCATGAGGTGAGGGGCAGGAGCAGTCTGCACAGGGGGACAGGGGAGGTGTGGCAGCCAGAGGCCAGACACTGAGCAGCAGTCACTTGACTACCATGGAAATACTCCTTTGGGAAGATACAAGCCCCAAACTGAAAATCTGGATGGCCTTGAGATAAGGTTATTGAGTGGTAGATAAATGGGGGCTCACTGTATAATTTTCCCATAATACTAAGTTAAAATTCTCTTAGGTGGCCTTAATTCAGGATAAGATAGTGGATAATGGAAGAGTTAAGATACAGAATAGAATTACAGGTTAAAATGGAAACTTTCCACCTCTTCACAATTTTGCTTATTTCCAAGACAAATTTATAATCAAAGTAGTATAAAAGCATCTAAAAACAAAATATAAATTCCTTTTTTAACTACTATATCACTTCTCCGTTAAGCAGACTAATTAGGGATGAATTTCGTAAAATTGTGAAGGAAAAACGTCTTCATACTTTTGAAAGGATAAGAATAGTTATTAAGTAAGGTATCTTAAAAATGAAGGTTCTCGGCTGCATTCCTGCTTCCACATCATTCATGTTCTCAAACCACCATCAGAATCATACCCACGACCACTCAGTCAACGCTCCACTGCAGGGCACCACCTCCTCCCACCCACCCCACCGTGCAGTCCTAAAATAGCACACCATAAGGTCATAGGACGAAATCGAGCACTTTCTGTCTAATGCACTGTTTCCAAGTTCTTTTGGTGGTATATTTGACAATCTGGGACAAATTTCAGAATCTTTTTAAAGTCAACAGTCATGTACGGTGGTTAACAAATACACTGGCTTTGATGCCAAACCACGTAGGTTCGACAGAGGTTTTTCATCCCTTTATATGTGATCTTGGGCAAGTTACTTAACTTGAGCATGCTGCGGTTTTTCTCATCAGTAAAGCAGGGACTCTAACAGTTCCTATCGGCACAGGGTTGCTGTGAATACATGTCAAGTGTATGTACATGAAAAATGAGTACATTTAAGGTACTAGAATAGGCCTGGTACCACCATAAGCACTAAATAAAAGTCATCAGGAATCTTCTTTAGGTTAAATACTTCTTTGTAATTTGTGAATTACTCTTCTCTTACCCAAAGATCCTACTCCGTACACTCGAGCTGGTTTCAGCTCCCTCTCAGCTCGGGCATATTTTGCTGCTGCTACCATTTTCATAGACTTGGTAATTTTCTGGATGTTTTTGATGGACTTTAGTCGCCTGGTAACTGAAAAATAGAAGTGCTGTGTTAAGACAAAGGAATTTTTCTAAAGTGTAACGTAGGATTGGTCTAGCACTTAGACCAACAATAAACAGCATGATGTTAAACCAGTCTTTTTTTTTTTTTTTTTTTTTTTTGAGACAGGGTCTTACTCTGTTGCCCTGGCTAGAGTACAGTGACATCATCATAGCTCACTGCAACCTCAAATTCCTGGGCTCAAGCGATCCTGCCTCAGCCTCCCAAGTAGCTGGGACTATAGGTGCATGTCACCACTCAGCTAATTTTTTTCTACTTTTTGTAGAGATAGGGTCTTGCTCTTGCTCCAGCTATAAACCAGTCTTGATGTTAGAACTAGTACTGATAAAAGAAGGGCAAGGCCACAGGTGCAGTGGCTCACACCTGTAATCCCAGCACTCTGGGAGGCAAAGGCAGGAGGACGCTTGAGCTCAGGAGTTGAAGAGCAGCCTGAACAAGAGTGAGATCCTGTCTCTACTAAAAACAGAAAATAACAACACAAAATACTAGGTGGGCATGGTGGCACGCACCTGTAGTCCCAGCTACTTGCAAGGCTGAGGCAGGAGGATCACTTGAACCCAGGAGTTGGAGGTTGCAGTGAGCTATGATAATACCACTGTATAGCTAGGTTGACAGAGTGAGACTCTGTCGCCAAAA